AGGGGTTTGTTATGTTAATTAGATCCTCCTAAGCAGGGTGGGTTCTAAATCCAATTACTTCTTAGTTATAAAAAGAGCAGATTAGACTCCACACCAGGGGCCAGAGGAAGACGGACTATGGAGATCAATGCATTTATAAGCCCATGAACTGCAAGGAATGCTGCCAACTACTAGAGGCTGAAATAGGAAAGGAGGACCTCCCCCTTACAGCCAACGCTCTGGATTCAGACTTCTTGCCTCCCTTCTTAAACTGTGAGAAAATAAATTTGTTTTTGAAAGCCACCCCCTTGTGGCATCACTAAGACACACACACACATACACCCCCATCCAAAAGAATGGTCCCCAGGCAGAGTAAGTAACATGGCAGCTTACAGGGCATGAATGGGCTTCTTGCTCCCTGGAGCCGTTGCACAAAACACTCCCTTTGTAGTTTGCAATGAATCCGGCCTGTTTCTGTCATCAGATGGAGACACCAAGAAGACGAGCCTGCTCTTACGCATTTGGTTCTGCAGTGGGAACTGTTTGGCCACACTCCGAGTCTTAGCCGGGCCACCCGTAAAACGGAGCTGGGCCTGTGTGGCTAACTTCCGATGACACCAGGGGGTGGTGGTGTCAGTGCTGCACAGAGGAACCCCACATGCTGGGATTGTCCGAGGGGCGGCCTGTAGCACAGCCAAGCCCACCTCCTCTCTGTGGTGCTCATACCATCTCCTCGCCCACTCGCACCCAGCCAGCCCCAGCCCCACTTCCCAGGCCTCAACCCAGGAATAACTTCCTCTCCCTCAGGTCGCAGGGCTTGTCAACGTGGCCCAAGATTTTGGCCTGAGCATCCAGGAGCCCGGCAAGTTCATGGGCTCTGTGCCCTTCGACAGCATCCTGGGACTGGCCTTCTCCACCCTCACCATCGGAGGGACCACCGCTCTCTTTGACAACCTGTGGGAACAAGGCCTCATCTCCTAGGGCGTGTCTGCCTTCTACTAGACCAGGTCAGTCTGGGCTAAAAAAAGAAACAACAAACACCAGTTGTCACTGAGTGAATTCCGGGTCAAACTGTGTCCCAGAGCATTTTCAATGGCTCATTTTTCAAAACTAGATTCCCAGGCCTTTTTTCTGAGGTGTCTCTGGATGGATTCAAACGCCAGCCTTTCAGTCAGAGGCCAAGGGTATTAACTGGGTGCAACATTTGAGGATTCCTGAGTCTGGGCTAGGAGCTCTGGTAGCACAGTGCCTAAGGCCCTTGACTGCTCACCAGAAGGCTGGTGGTTCAA